ACGAATCAATCTGTTCACCAAAGCCAACTCATGCTCATAACGGATGATATTTCAGGAGTTTGTCATCCTTATATGTTACTGCATAAACATCAAAGTAGGTTGGTAAGTGGAAACATGTCAGAAGACGCATAAATCTTCGCACGGCCAGGTCTCATTGCGCACTGCACCATTCACCGCTCCTATTTGCCCCCGTCTGCGGGGGATGGCATTCAAGCGGATCATGGCTCTATGGTATTCGAGTACGTGCGATGACATGCAGATTTCGCATCACTTTGTCTGCTACCTCCAGCTCGCGCTCATTATAACTGCCAAAGTGTTGAAAAGCTGCAAATACAACGGACACCAGAAACCAGAGACATTTTGCTTATGCAAAATGTTCTACGTGGTCACCTCCACAGACATTCAGAACAACTTCCTGCGCTATTCACCTGTTGATTGAAAAGACCGCCAGGGGAACTCAGAAACTTGTTTAATAAAACGGCTTGTGAAGTAGTGGAAATGAGTTAAATATTTGTATCTTGTCAGAATCTTCCATTACCCACAAAGGCGTCGTTGGATTACTGAATATGCAACTTGGAAGCACCTCTTTACAGCAGATTTTCTTGCTAGGAGGAATACGGCTAATGGATTGATTCTAACGTCGGTTTGAGGTATGATATAATGTGACTGATATGAAACACGGTTTGTTGAAGCTTGGTTTGTCGAAAATAATAATACTTGTACAGTCATTATAAATTTGGTCTTGGAGAAGTTATGCGTTATTAGAAATACTCTTGCATGCAAGCGTACTTTATTATTTACAACATTTCATAACACTGATCAAGCAATGAAGCTTCAGAGTAACTTTCAAATTCTATCTTTTCCTTAACTTGCTGAAAAAATAACTGAACGAAACCAGTAATTTTTCTGATTTTAAGCAGGAAAGATTACCGGAAGGAATTCTTGTTCTGATACGTAGCTGAAATATTCTACATAAAGACACAAAGTTGTAATTTTACTATGTCAGCAGATAGCAATAAGCAGAAATCAGAAAATTAATTGTTTTTAGATGCCTATGGGGTCATTTAAGAAGACAATGGCTCTACGGTATAATAAGATCTGCATTACACAGTGGAATAGTATCATTTTATTAGGTAGAGTAAAGCCCTTCTCGTTGATGTTAGTGACAAAAGGTTATCCCCCCTCCAGAAAAAATGAAACTATCAAAAGTAAACTAATTATGCAATCTGAGGTAGTGGGAGGAAAAACCGATCATATGAAAACTTTGCATGACTCTATGATCGCGCAACTGCCACAAAAACCATGAGCTTGATATTTTAAGAAACCGTTCATTGCCAAAGTTTATGTTTAGACTAAGAATATTTCGATAATATTCACCGTCGTTTGCATATTCCGCATTGTCTGAAGATCGGTCTCGACGTTCGCTAGTTCGCTGTCCTTCTCCGCAACTGCACACCAGTGGTTTGATACCAATTCGACGAAGCGAAGCGGGATCCGGTATGCGCTGCAAAAAAGAGCCATGACACGAGGTTAGTCGAAAAAATGCACATGTGCATATACACACCTTGGATAGATCCAAGTTGGAAGCGGATTTCGACAAGTTCTGACACTTTATTAAACCAGAGTTGTGACCAGCATCCTAAACAGCAGACTTTGTTAAGTTTTCAGCATCAGCTTGGATGCAATTACTCGAGGGTGAGTTATAAGGGAGAACATTCACGACAGGACAACTCGTTTGCAAATTTTTCACTTGAATTATACTTTACTGCCCGAAGCATATCTACGCAGTAGTGAAGTCTTTTAGTACAACATAATTAAAATTTTACGTTTATCCGGAATTTTAGAGATTGTTTGAATTCTTTATGCGGAAGGAGACTTATCCGAGTTCATCGCCAAAATCTTCGTTGGGTTTACTCGGCATATAAATTTTATTTTAAAAAAATCCTGACAGTTCGGATCTATCTTTAGGGTACATCACATAACTCAAAGCATAAAAATCGGTCAATAAATGTCGTTGCATACCGCAGAATGATCTTAAGGCAGAAATAAGATCAACGAACTGCTGATATGCACTATAAGCTAAACTAGCAGACCTAGATGGAATTCAGTATTGATCGTTTTCACTAACCGTTGTTTTACTTCCTGATTTAAGGCAATTTTACGCAATTATTTCTGGTCAAACGTTTGCATATTTGCATCAGAAACACTTTCTGTGTGGTTAATGCAAGCTGTTTGCAGACTAACTAAATTCAACGTTGTTAAACAGCAAGGACGCGTTCATCGAAACGAGTTGCTCACTTTGACCATACAGTTTACTCTTCAACATAGCAGACCACTCATGCACTTTTTTACCTCCTTCATATTCAAAGCCATGTGCCAGTAAACTTGAGCATAAGCTTATAATATACCTGATTCACAGTTCCTTCGAGAAGAAATTTATCAAGAAGAGTCTAACCAGTGATTCCAACATTTAAGCAATGAAATTAAAGTCCGACCTGCGTAGCGATGCTTTTCCATATGAACCAGGAGATGAAGTAGATTATAACTTATGCGCAGATTATGAAATACATTTCCACAGTTTATGAAGAAAAATTCAATTATCATTTGTAAATGCCTGTTTCAAGACCAGTATCCATGCCTGTGACAGATAGCTGTACTGTACTCATTACACTTACCTATAAACTCAAGAACTGACGCTCATAAATCTCAATAACATACACTAAGAATCGAATAAACAGGACTAAGACAATACACAACCCATCCTGCTACACCTAAATATGAAATTTAATTCCAATATCATTCAGTCTGCTTTGATGACCGCCTATCTTATTTAGTGGAAAAGATAGCAACGCTAAACAGTGCCTCACGTTCCCGATCGAGTGCCAATATTTGAGCTTCAGCAGAAGATAACCGGAGTCTGGAGCAGAGTCTTCGATACACTGGCTCCAGGACACTCTAAGCCGTCAGTTGGGCGAGTATCTGCTGTTTTGCCTTTCTTTGTGGAAGCATTCACAAAACTTGTCAAAATTGTCACAGCTGTGACTTTCTGATCTGCAGAAAGAGCGGTTGCACAGCAAAGTTCTCTCGCATATCTGAACACCAGGCCATACTGAGACGCACAAGCCCAACAATTCGTCCCAGAAAGCAGCGATTTCAACCTTTTGTATCCGGGATTTAAGTTTTTAAGTTCAGGCCCATGATTACAATATCCAGGTAAGCAAAATCAAATCAACAGTAAATACCTCTGCCACCTCCCGGTAAATGCATACATTTTTTCTGACCATCGATTGCCAGTCAGTCAAACATCCTCCGTAACGAGATGCTGATAGAGCGCACAGGTATTTAAGGTAAGTAAAAGATAGGCGAACTACAAAGCTAGACGAGGGGATCGAGAGCTACCGTTCATCCTTACGTCAATAAATACTCAAAAACAGATACCTAAAGCATAATGTTGATAACCCTGTAGGCGTGTGATGACAACTGAACCAGAATGGATATCGGTTAGCCGTCAAAACATATTTTTGCCTCGACAGACAACAGAAGTATCATACCTTTTCATTAAGACTAGGATTTGAGCGGGTCCGGTAAAGCGGGAGCCGTTCGCCGCCACCATTGCCACTGCCGGGACTATGAGAAAGGT